AATAACAATCTAAGCCTGTCAGTGGCAAGAACAACAACTTTTAGTGGATGGACTTTGACAGGCAGATTTGGTCACAAGGATTCATGTTAGCTTACTGTAGCGCTTTACACTGATATTTTTGCATCTAACTCAATGAAACAAAGGTTTATTTGGCCAAACCAGTGCACACACACACACACAGACACCCATACACACACACACACACACACACACACACACACGGTGAAGTAATACTTACATCCCAAATCTGCCACTGTTGTATTGACAATGGGTTGAACTGTGATTTCATATAAACAGTCTGAAAATTCAGAAGACAAAAACAAATTGTATTGTATTGTAATGTATTTTGTGGTATGCAAACCATGCTTTTGATCAGAGGAAAAGGGAAAAGAAGCAGAAGTGGTAACATTAAGTTGCTAATGAAACTCAAGGTTTGTCATACTGTCTATGATTATGTATGTTTAGTTTTTCTGTCTTACCTTCTGTGCAGTTAGTAAGCTCGGCAACAGCCTTTTCAACTGCCTCAAAGTCGTTCACATAGAGCTGTTCAGAGTTAACATCGTTTGGAATCACCAAAACCACATCATGTGTGACACTAACGCTGAGCAGAAAGAATTTCATACGACAGTTAGTACAGTTAAAGGCATGATTTTGCAATTTAAAATGTGTGCTGTTGGTGAGGTGATTTCCTTTGGTAAATATTGGTGAATACACCTGCACTGTAAAAATAATAATAATCATCTGTAAAGCTACAGTTTTTCCTGTTTATTTTACATTGATTGTATTTTTTTTAAACACATGGAAATTTTACCAAAATTACAACAATGTATGCATGTAATAAGTAATAAGCAATTACTGCTTATTTAAAGAACTTTTTTCAAATAAAAAGACAAGATATTAACTGTTTATTTAATAGATTAAACTGTTAAATTCAAGTTTAATACAATAATATATAAATTTCTAAAATTATGTAAAAACAGTAAAAAGAAGTATTTGTTCTATACTTTTACATGGGTTTATCAGATATCTTAATATTATGGAAGTTTTAACAACAGAAATGTTGAATCATGTTTTTTTCAGTGTATAAGCATTGGTAAACTGTCAAAATACAGGTGACTTTAATTACAGCTATAACTTTCAGATTTCAGGTTAAGATAATAAAAATCTAATAATAACAGAATTCTTCTGTAAATTTGAGCCTGATTATTTGTAGGGATGCTCGATATAACCATATCCGATATTCCGATATTGTCCAACTCTCAATTTCCGATACCGATATCACCCGATACCGATATATGCAGGCTTTTTACACCAAAACTGTTAGGTAACAACATAACATATCTCCTATTGTGGAATTAACACATTATGCCTAATTTTATTGTGATGCCCCACTGGATGCATACATAAATGCAACATGGCTTTCCAAATGTAAACACTGTCTGTGCAAAATAAGAGAACAACTTCAACTTTCATTGTATTAATACTGAAAAGAGCGCTAACGCTAATCGCTAGCTAAGCGCTAATCGCTAGCTAAGTATTTAGCTAGATAAGTACTTGTGCCCCCCCCCACCTGTGAAATCAAAATGTCTTCCTTGATCTGAGCTGAGACTAGGTATATGTAACAATGAAATGTCGTCCAATTGAGTACTCACTCTCTTAAACTTTAAATCTTGAAATAAATCATTTGTTTGTGCGTGTGAACATGATTTAGTATGGTGAAAGCTGTCATAACAAGCAGCAGGAGAGGACCTTTTTAACCTCATGGTAAACTGCATGCTCAAAATATCAGCTCACTCACAGTTTATACCCATTTCAATCCATAAATATCCAATCAAACCCTACAGGTACCTAAAGGCCCTACAAGTCATGATGCCGAACATGAATCAGAATAAGTTCAGGTATTGCACTCACTCTCTTTATCTTTAGCAGACCACCCAAAAATCCACTAGAATGCAGGAAATCACATCTACTTAATCCAAAATTTCCTGGGGGTGGACCTTCAGCTATGTCTGCTTCTCAGAATGTAACCAATATTGTCCATCTCCAGTAGGCTGCCCTATCAGCGGCTTTGGGCCTCCCCACAAACCACCAGAATGCAGGGTACAACATCAAATGAATTCCAATTCTCTGATATCTGAGCCACCAACTTGTGTGGCTGCGTGCGCGGCATCATTTTGGTCACCCCCGACAAAATCTCACTCCAAGGTTTTTTGAAAAGTTGGCAGGTATGTATACGTCATCTAGCGCGCGCCGGTAAACGTCCCATGCTGTGTTCATGCAGGCTCGGAAATGCTGAAGTTATAAAAACCCGATACCGATAATTCCCGTTATTAAATTTTTTTAGTGAATATCTGCTGATTGGCTGTCGCACCTTGGACCTTGACCACATACAGATACTGATACTTAAGTATCGGAAATTGAGAGGACATCCTTAGTTGCGATCAGTGTTTTCTGTCTATTATACCTTGTGGGTTTTTTTAGGAAAGGGGAATTTTTGGCAGAGTAGGGATTTCAGGTCCCAAATCACCTACATCACAGCTGCATGGAGAAGGGACACAGTCTGAAGAGGTCAAAACTTCAGACAGACTTGTAGTATAAGGAACAACTTTATTAATAGTATTAATAAAGAAAC